CAAGAGCAGTGATTAAAACCTGATTTAAGGGAGCAGACAGAGGGGCTGATCTTACTGCAGCTTAAGAGTTGCTGCTTCACACTGATGTAACACCTAGAGGGAGTGCAGCCTGTCAGGTGAGCACAGAGAAGTGGGATTACTGCTTCCTGCAACAAAGCCACTTGGCAGGTATCTGCAGGCAGCTGACTAGGGCCACCTCCCTCCTCTAGTTTCAGTACCACTCCAAATATCTTACAGACACAAGAGTTCAGCTCAGCGGTCAAATCCAGAGGACCCCAGATAGGGTCATGGTGTTTTTATTTAGTACTCTTCTGGGAGAGGCCAGCTGCCTGTCTTCTCACAAGTAAAGTCAACTGGAAAGTGATTTTGGAAGTGAAGTGTTCTGGTTCCCAAGCCTGAGATGTTCAAATAAAGTGCCTGGTGCCTTTCATCATACCCCAGAGCAGAGCAACATGAAATAACGCATCCCCTTGAATTTTTACTGTTAAGATGAATATCCTTATGCTTCCCCCTGGAGGCTTGAAGTACATTACAATAAACAAGTCTTCTTCCAAACCTGCACAGTAGCATCCCTGTAGTCCTGTGCAGTGGAGGGCAGGCAACTAAGAGGGTAGAGGGCAGGGTAACTCCCTAGACCGCTCAGCCTGCCCTGGGATGACAGCCCCCTTTACTAGCATGGGAACAGTAGCACAGACAGCTACACACTCTCCCTGGCAATGTAGTTTAGAAAATACAGTCTCTCTTAGATTTTTAAGCCCCTGAAGCACTGACTTGTCAGCACTGGAAGCCCCTTTGTAGGGAAGAAGATCCTGAAATGCTAAAGCCCACAAGCCTGTGGAGTCCTTTGCCTTCAGTGCTGCATAGCCTATAAGGTTATATGCACATTTTTGCCACTTGTACAGCTGGCAGCAGCAGACTCAGCAGTCCTTTCCTTACTGCCCAGTCTGTCTGGTCCCTTACACCTGCAACCCCATGCAGCTGGTACCTCCCTGCCAAGTATCTTAGCCAGCCCTATGTCTCCAAGATATCTTCTTTTCTGTACCTTTAGCTCCCTAATCTCCCCATTTGCTTTAGACTTCTCTCCTGCTCCTCCCCAAGAACCTGCAAGCACCACTAGGGCAAAGTACTTGCTTTGCCTGGTCCGAACAGGTAGGGGGCAGTATGGTCCCGCAAGCCAGGTAGAGCACTATGGGTGCCTAAGCACGTGCACTGAGGCTGCTCCGACGTGCTGTAATTACAGGTGACCCTCACCATTCGTGGGGATATGTTCTCGTATCCCCCACAAATGGCGAAATACACGAATAAGGCACTGCATTCATGAACGCGGTCTGTGTTCATGAACACAGTGCCCCCGGCGGCTGGGGAGGTGGCACGGCTCCGGCAGCTCCAGTGGGAACGTGGCAGTGGGAGTGCGGCGGCAGCAAGTGCAGAACTCCTGTAAGTGTATAAAGTGTATTTAACATGTGGGTTCAGCATTCACGAATATTTGAAACCATGAATGCCAAACCTGCAAATAGCAAGGGTTTCCCATAAAGCGCATCAAGTATCACGGAGTGTGGTTATTAGTGCGCTCCATCAGACTCCACTGTCACATGTATCAGCATCCCTGCGCTGAAAAATGGTGACAGGGGCACTTTAACTAAAGCTCGTTAGACAAATTTTAGTTAAAGCACTCCTGCCACCATTATTCAGTGTGGGGATGCTGATACATGTGATTCTCCAGGAGCTTTAATTAGAGCGGCTCTTGGATCCACTCTAATTAAAGCGCCCCCCCGCCACTCCTGAAGCATGTGTATAAACACCTTATAATTCTGCATCCCCGAGTCTCTTCCTGCCTCTGCTACTAATCACGAGTCACTTCACCCTCTGCACCACCTACCTATGGAAGTGCTTGGCACTCCATAATGGAAGGCCTAGGAGGTATTATTATGGTCAGATGCTTCTTCTGTGGCACCATGCGCATCACCTTTACAGCTTGTATGCTATGGCTTAGATTATCTCCTTTGTGTGAAGCTGGTTTATGCCTGTCCAGAGCAAGCCTTAGGGGTGGGCAACATGGGTGACTGACTCCCCAGAACGCTGTGGTCAGGAGGGGCACCACACATACAGTGTTACCTGTTTCCCTAGGGAGCCCTTGTGGCCCTCCCAGTTGCTGCCAAGCCAGCTAGGCTGCCCTCAGGGGGAGGGAGGGAGGGAGGGGGCATCGGGTGGCAGAGTGGAGGGAGGACACCCACCTCCCTCCTGTCTCTGTGGGCTGCGAGCCTCCCTTCCTCTAGAGTTAGGCAGCTTCCTCTCACCCCTCTGCCTCCAGTAGGAGCTGGCTGGCTGCCAACCTCTCAGCTGTGGTGGTGAGTGGCAGTGGCAATAAGAATGGACAGGTGGGGAGGGGAGAGGAGGTGACGGTGGTGGAAGAGGCGGTGGTGGCAGGGAGCTTGTGCACAGCAGTCCCCAGCCAGGCTCACTGCAGTTAGCGGCTGCCTGCAGAGCAACAGCACTTCCCCAACTCCTGTTGCCCTCACCACCATGCCCGGGCAGTGCACAGCAGCCACCTCACTAGGAAGGGCCTTCACCAAGGAAGATACACGAGGATGAAGACATGGTGCAGGGCGGTGGTGATGGTGAGGCTGGCAGCGGGCAGCTGGCACACGTGGGGGAGCGGCAGAGGATGAGGTGCAGCATTTAGGGAGCCTGTGCTGTGCTCTCCAACTGTCTTTTGCTTGCCTGCATGCTCAGCACCACTGCTGTGGGTTTCAAGTGTTTCTCAATGGGCTCTGAGCTGAAGTGGGAGCTATCTTGCCTGGGTACCACTGCCAGCACCTTTTACTCAGGGTTGCTGCTCTTTGCTGGGCCATGGCCACCAGGAGAGGTGCTGGTGGTGGGGGGAGTTTGCCCAGGGAGTCATTTTCCCTAAGGCTGGCTCTGTGTCTGTTCATGGAGTAAACTGGCCTGAAAAACAATGAGCTGCCAGAGGGAGGGTCTCCTTTGACCCACCCCAGCCATGTACGATATTTCCCCAGGTCTACAAAATCTCCCCAGGAGACAGTTCCAGTCTCTCTTAACTATACATCAAATTTCTTTCCCTCTGTTTCTCTTCTAGATTTTAATTATATAACCACATTCATTTTAATTCTGTAAACTCCCAGACGAGACAAATAGTAGAGAAGATACTATTCACAATGCAACCCAAATATCATACTACCCTGTATGGTCCCCTGTGACACTACCTAGGATCACTGCTTCAGTCTATATTACTCTAAACATTCCCGAGGATACCTACTTAAGTACGAGTTGCATTCCATATTATCCTGCACTCCACTTGTGCTGCTGCTCAAAAATGATGCTCCACTCTCTATTAACCTCAAATCCCCAATGCTGTATTTTCTACTGCCCAGAGTGACTTTTAAACCAAGCCAATTAAACTGTGCTACTCCTGAACCATGCTTGGAAGGAACACCTGGTGCACTAGAAGAGGGGACAACAATTTATTGCTGCCAAGCTTCACAAGGTGCCTCGAACAGATTTCTGCAGCCTGTGCTCTCACATTTGTTCCACTAGCAGAAGGCTAGGGTAGGAGTGCCTGTACCTGGATTTAGCTTTGTGAATATACAGAAAAGTCATATGTGCCAGTGTCAGAAAAACTCTGAGTAAAAACAATACAAGGGACCATTGATCCCTTTAAGGATTTAATCCCATTAAGGATTAAATCCCTTTACGGATTGCTCTGGGGGTTACATCCCCAGAGCAATCCTTAAAGCCTGGCCCCATGGAAAACAGAGCTATGCTTGCTGTCATGGGTGGCTTCAGAGAAGAGTAGTGAGAAATCAATCCCCTGGAGGCTATGGTAAGGCAAACAAAATGAAAACATATGAAGGAAACTTAGCCAGCTATGTGAACAGCAGCAGGTCATGGTTGCCCAGAGTAAAAAATACTGGGGCTCATGTAACACTGCTTGGGTAGCAACAACATGTCTAGGGGCAGATCAGCAGCACCGTTTTCCTCCTCATATCTCAGTCAATACAACAGTGGTTACGAAGGCAAATAAGCCTTTACACTCAAGTCCTGAGGAGCTGGCGCAGCTGTAGGACAGGAAGCTGGCAACCATCTTGCTTTGTGGATCACCTAAAATAGCCCACTGAGTTCCTCTGGGAGGATCTTTTCAAGTGGGGAAAAATGCATTGAGACAGGAGTTCAGCACAAGCAATCTAAAAACCTAGAAATGCTTTGCTTTGCAATTTGAGTATGTCTGACCTGAGAGTTCCTGGGTGGGAAAAACTATGGATCCTCTGTAAGCCTTATGACAATATTGCTGGGTTGCTTTCGTATTTCTACAGGAACTTGGATACCAGGGTTCCCTTAGTACTGATAATATTCCTGAAGATGTGTTAGGACAAGGACAAGGAGAGGGGGGCAGGGAGGGAACAGGCCTATTTGTTATGCCACTGGGCATAGGCCTAGGCCCACCAAGTCAAACTATAATCCTCCCTTAGGAAGGAGATCACTGAAGACATAACAACTGATTTCTTGGGACAAACAAGAGAAAAACAGGGAAAAGGAGCAAGGGTCATAGGTTTATAACAAGTACACCAAAGGGGGACATGGAGCAGAAAACACCAGACAGTGCCCACTAGCCCTTGAATGAGTCCAAGGAGACAGTGGGCATTGCCCAATGAAACTCTTTCCAGAGACATGAATGGACGAGGGACAAAAAAACAGCCCTGCAGTCTTAGGGGTTCTTACAACCAAAGCTTCCTTCCCGGTCGGCTATATTGTGAGGTTAGCCAGGGCCAAGAGGAGGTTGACCAGGAGGTGTTGGGACATGGTGGGGCCATGGATGGGGAGTGCATAAATGAAAAAGTATGGGGAGCAGTGCAGCCAGAACCTCAACACGAGGTTCTAGAGGAGGAGGTGAAGAGGCTGAAGCCTGCTGCACGTCAGGCATATGTACACCAGGGTGATCCCTCTGCTTGTAGAAGGGGCATGGAACAGGAAGATCTGCTTACCAGGTTGAGGAGCCCTCCCCCACCTCCCAGTAGTGGCATCCACTGTCGATGAATACGTTGCCCACTGCACCATAGCACCCAGTACCACTGAACCTCTCAGGCGTGTGGCTCTTTTTCAAGGAGCTCTCATCTTTCTCCATTTGCAGCCCATCGTTGGAGATTTTCAGCTTTTTGTGAGTCATCTTGGGGTCCAGCTTGAAGGGCTGACCTACAAGGAAGACAGAAACACAGTGATGGTTAGTATTGCTCCCTCACCCACTACACAGGCTGAATATTGGCAGGCAAGCCCGTGTTTGCATTGTTACGTATTCTCTTCTGCCCATTATACCAAGTCAGAGAATAAAATGCACTGGCCAGAGTGTTTCACTCTCTCATCAACATACCAGAATGTTCATACAACCACAGTCTACTTTAGCAAACTCCAAGAACTCTAAGTTGCCCCAGCACTGGTTGCTTTCCATTAGGCCAAGGCTCATTTGCCTGCCTCAGTCTACTGTAAAGAGCTGATTGCAGTGCAAAAGACCCCTCCAGTGTTGTCTGTAAACCTAGCATAAGACTCAATTTCTTCCCACACAACTGTGTTGGTGAGTGAGTGAGTACAAGGTTATTGTTGCCAAGGTTTATAGTTCAAAATGTCTTGTGGTAACAAACTGAGAGAAACCTAGTGTTTTACATATAAGAATCAGTAGGGCTGGATTTCACCCTTCTGCAGAAGCTACCACAGAGCCTATGAAGTTCTTGAGTCACACCAAAAGTGGAGCTTTAGAGGGAAATACATTTAATTATAGTATTTATTCAAATGATACACGTGTTAGTCATTGCAGAAAGGGTGGAAACATTCCTCTAAGCTTCTGATTTTCAGCAGGGAGACATTTATCTTCAAGTGTATAAACAACTCTTGCTTATCCAGAGGTCTAGTGGACAGGGCACAGGACTGGGACTCAGGATGCCTGCTTCAGACTTGCTGGGTGCCTCTCAATGAGACACTTAACCTTTCAGCCTCCCTGCTTGCAAAATGTGGACAATAGCCTCTTTTGTAAATCTGTCATGATCCAACTATGAAGAATGCTGTGTTGCTGATCAGTAGTACATGCTATGATCATCTCAAAAGGGATGCTAGGAGGGACAGGGGGAATTACAGAACCTTGGGAACAACCATATCCTCACAGTAGGAACAGCATTCTTTGGCCTTCTGGAGAGTGTGAAAAGTGCTCTAAAGGAAATAAGGGAATGGCTCCACATAATGGAAGTGAAGAGAAGTGAAAACAGAATCTAGACTAGCTAAGTAGTTTGATCTGTACTCTTAATGAGAGTTATATGGGAACACTAAAATGAGAATGGGCCCTTAAATGCAATCTGAGTATGTCTGATTGCTGGTGCAATTTCACTCAATCATAAAAAAAATATTGCAGCATCTAACTTATCCTCACATACTCACCTCCAGCAAGTGCAGGTTACTCCTATGTGGCACATATTTTGTTATTATATTTTACAGAAAACATGCCTCTATTTTCTCAGGACTTGATCCATTGCCAACAGAAAATCTTAGCTTGTGTTGCCTACACATAACAGTCTGTGCTCGTAACTCTACTTACAGCAACAAATCAAAGGCATAAAATGGAGTTCAGGTTCTCTGAGGCCCTACTCAAAAGCTGATACTTCCTCAGCTCTGTGGCATTAACTTTCACCAGTAATAAGTGATCAGAAACCAGTTCATACTGATCAGAAATTAGTTCACCAGTTCGTGCTGAACTTCTGTTCTGTAACAATTCAACCTGTTCAGAACAGTTCAGCATGCATGGACTAGTTAAAAAATGGCAGCACCTGGCCTAAGATTTGCCTCCTCTCACTCCCCTCCATAAAGAGCGGATGTGCATTCTGCTCACTACCGATCTAAATTACGCAGCTTACACAAAACCACAAAGCTTAGATCAATTCTGCCTTGGGTTTTTTGAATGTCTATACCTAGCCAAAGAGAATGCAGACTCCAGCATTCTCAATTAACAGGACAGGTTTTGAAGGATCTTCCAGGTCTTTTAACACTGCTTGGAAACACAACTGAAATTCCTCTATAACATTACCAGTCAACAAAAACCAAGCTATTTCCTAACTGAGCCACACTCACTCTTCTGCTTGCTTTGATAAAACCCTTCTGAAGATTCATTACAGTCAGGGAGCATCTGGCCTCACTTGTATTGTAACACATCGCAATCCAGAATTGTCTTTTCTGGGAACTAGCTCTATAACATCAACAATAAACGGTAATGATTTTCTGGAAGCCTCTGATCTTTGCTATTCTGGAAAATATATATTCTTCCTGCTATAAATGAACAGCATCTGATTCTGTACCAGAGAAAGGTAATGACTTATTTGACTCTGTACAGCCTCATCACAATACAAACTCTTACAAAGCAACAGTTTCTGAGTTTCATTTCTTTAGGGGATAGGTGGGGAATATATTGCAAAGATACTTGTAAAGATAGCACAGAATTCCCCTGCTCTCCAGATTTGATAAGGCTATCTAAAGTTTCAACAGCAGCTCCCAGAGCAGAAAACACGCACAAAGCACTCAAACATGACTGCACTTCAAACATGTAGTGTATAATTGCTAGGGATCATGGTTTTCTCTGGTTTAAAAAAATTCCTAATTTTCAGTTAAAAAAAAAGTGACCCCAATTCCACATTTTTCCATGATTTAAATGAAACACCTGTCTCGATGCAAGATCCTCAGGGGTGGCCATGATGCCCCTGGTGGCTCTGTGACCGTGCAAGCTCTGCCCTGAGGGCACCCTCTTGTCTTTCCTGCCACATCTTGCTGATTAAAGTAATAAATAGGGAGGCTGTCCTCGAGTTACAGCTCAGTCACGGTCCTGATGGACCCCCCTAAACCCTGCAGGTTATTGATCCCCTTGACGGGCCCCGCTCTTGGTAGGTGACTCAGGGGTCACCCCAAGCCTTATGGGCTAGATGCATGGCTCCAACCACCCCTTTACCATGCCCCATGCCTTGCGGGTGTCACACTGCTGTTATGCTTTTTGGGGCCTTGGCCTACTTGGACTCCGCCCCTTTGATATGGCTACGCCTTCTAGCCTGTGATGTAATCTTTTTTATGGTATATCTAGCTTTTGCAAACTATATCTAACTGAATACTTAAGGCAACTTACTGATGCTGGGAGGGGTGTGGCATGTGTGTGTTAAGAGATGCTTGCAGAGCACAGCGTGTGGGATGCGGAGGATTCCTGGAATGCCTCCCTAACACCAGCAGGATAATGTCTCCCTGACACTTGTAAGATAGCAAGAAGTTCAGAAAAAGGTCTCATTATAATGCTAAAAATCACACCCCTGGGCAGGGCAAAAGTATGTTAATGAAACATATATGTATGTAAATGAAATACATGGCTAAAACATAGGTATAGAGACATGCTCAGTAGAGAACGTCTTATGTCAGTGGCTTGTAACCAATCACTGAGTGATACACTTGCAAACATATGTATAAAAGGTACCCAAAGGTAGAAACCGGTGGTGCTTGCTTTGCAAACGATTGCCAAGCACCCCTCTCTGCGCAGACTGGAAACAATAAAGATTAAGTTGGATCCTCCACCCCTGTGTGTTCATTGGCAATAGCGCACCGGGCACGAACTCACACTGTCCGTTGGGGACAACACCTAGACCCACTGTGTTGGGCCTGGCTTTGAGACACTAGCCCACAGACTCCTTTTATTACTGGGCCCCTGGCTGTTGCTGCTCGTGCCCCACAGGTGCTGAGCTCTCTGACCCCTTGCAGCTCGCGCCTCCCTGGCACCGGGCTCTCCACAGCCCCTGAGACTGCACCTTCCCTGGCACTGGGGCTCTACACAATTGTGCGCCCCAATGAGGCCTCCTCCTCTCCTATTAGGCTCTTCCCAGTCCACCAGTGTACAAACAACAACCAAAGTATGAGCTCCTGGGCTGTAATGTAATACAAACAGTGCAGGGTACACTCTGTCTCTTTAAAAGAGGCAAAGGTCTCCCTGAGCATTAAGTGCCTCACAGCCCAGGGTACCTGATGGTCTCCTGGAACTCCATTAGTCCTGTAAGCAGCATATCAGGCGGCCACAGCGTCTCTGGGCAGTTCTTCTCTGCAGGAACTCCTTCCCCTGGCAGATGCTGGGGAACTAACAGCCTCTAGTCCCAGACCTGGGGTTTATATGTGCCCAGGGCCCTGCCTTCTTTCAGCCAGTTGACTGGGTGCAGATGCCAGCTAATTCCCTCATTATCTTGCTGCCATGGCAACCTGCACCTCTGGGTGTTCTGTCTGGCTCCTAGGGCCCTCTCTCTAGGCAGTTTCTGCCCTTAAAGGAGCAGGCACATCTTAGTGCCCTGCGGCACACCACTATATACTTATCTATATATTAGTGGTGTTTCATTGAAATCACAGAAAAATGTGGATTTGGGGTTACATTTTTTTAATCGAGAATTAGGGATTTTTTTAAACCAGAGAAAACCAGGATCCCTGGATTACTGCTCAGGAAAGCGAGTCCCTAATGGCACCGGTGTGGCTTGGAAGTCCCTGTGCAAACTGGTGTTGCCAGTGCACTTCAGGTGCTGGTCCTGCATAGGGTGGCCATTGGTTCTGTTTTATATGGGACTGTCCTGTTTTTAAACCCTTTGTTCCCTGTCCCTTTCTAAATGAAGAATGGACGGCAAAAATATTCTGTTATTCAGGTCGCTGGTGGAGATACATGTCAATCATTTGTCCTTGTGATTCTATTGGCTGTGCCTAGAGGTAGGGCAGTGCACAGCCAGGAGAAGCAGGGTTCCAAGCCAGCCATGGAGGGAGGGAGGGACAGACGTGTTTTTTTTTGTGGTGGCTCCACCCCTCACTGCTGATTGGCTGAGGAGGCTGGTGGTCCTTCCCCCCATCAAAGGGATGTCCTGTATTCTGGGGATGGGTCTGTGGCCATCCTAGTCCTGCACCAGGCCTTCCACATATACAGCTTGCTGATGTTCCTCAATCACATACCACAGCTACCCCTCCCTCCCCACTTATTCTAGCCCTGATTTCCCCACACACAGCTGTGCCAAATCTCATCAGCCGTCTGAAAGCTCCTCTATTCCTGCCGCTGTTTGGATACCACAATTACAATACGTCTCACCCCTAACAGCCAAATCTTAACTAGTACTGGGAGAAATCTGGAGCTTTCAGTCTGGTGCTCACGCCAAAAGTCT